GTCACTGGGACTAAAAGGCTGCAGCTGTGCGAATGAAACTCAGCCGAACATTGTGTTAACTCAGAGTACGTCACTTCCGGTTATTTCTTTCAGTTGACCAAACAAACGCTCGACGGCTGGCAGCAAAATTTATTTAGCAGAAAAATTTAGTTCATTCTGAATGCTACTGAGAATGAACAGGAAAAGTTAAGGGATGTGAAGCTCAACGAGACCCAGGTTCTAGTCCCCTACGGGGAGATTCACTACTTTAATAATACTTTCTGTACTGCGCCGCCGTACTGCTTTATTGCTTTATTGTCATTTCATAAGTGCACTTGGCAGTGGTTTAGGGCAGCTCCTCGTTAGTATAGTGGACAGTATCTCCGCCTGTCACGCGGAAGACCGGGGTTCGATTCCCCGACGGGGAGAAACACTACTTTTCTCATCTCACTCTAGCTCTACTACAACTCATCATCACAACACATTTATACATCAGTACATAGGCTGATATCCCCAGTATACACTATTTGGTCAAAAGTTTGCGGATGCCATATCATCACACCCATATGTGCTTCTTCCCCAAACTTTTACCACAAAGTTGGAAGCACACAATTTATATGGGATGTCTTTGAATGCACCTTTGGGATGAACTGGAACACCGACTGAACCCCAGACCTCCTGACCAACATCAGCGCCTGATCTCACTAATGCTCTTGTAGCTGAATGAACACAAATCCCCACAGCCACGCTCCAAAATCTAGTGGAAAGCCTTCCCAGAAGAGTGGAGCTTATTATAACTTTTGGTCATATAGTGTATATCATACTGTCTTATGATCATGATAATATGAGTCTAGTTCTACATGTGCAATATAGTATGTGCTGTCAGGTGTTGGAGGTTTAAAACATATTGGGTCACCATAATCTGAAACAAAGGGATTTCCTAAAAAAGATACTGGATAATTTATCTGAAACCTGACCCAAAGTTTATCCTAAAGAGTTGTATTTAAGCCTAATATTCCCAAACAACC